GGGAATCTGAAACATTGGAGGTCTTAACATAACTATGAGACTTCATTTTTCATTTCCATGAAAAAGTGAGGAAAAGCAAACCCTATTTAGTAACATTCTTTTGCCTTCAGAAGAGCTAAATCAGACCATCCTTCCCACACATTTCTGTCCCCAAAAGCAACCTGCAAGTCTCACAGCAAAGCTAGGAATACACATTCACAGCATTTTTCTTGCTTTCTTTGCTCATTCAACAGGTTCACACTTCACAGGCTCGGCTTTTAGTCTACCTTTTTTGTTACCAAGTTCATCAGCGCTATCTGTTTATCTGCTCCATCCAAACCGATAAGGAAATAAACCCACAGAAGATAAGTGGGAACTCTTCAACAGCTACCTTCCTGCTGAGCCAGCAAGTGCCATTTCTGGCACCATCTGTGTCCTGAAAGTCTGTTCTCTAGTGTTTTATTCACTAAGCATGGAAAAATATTTGGAGAAAAAAATCTCTTGAAGCATCTTCTACACCCATAGCTGCTAGTTTTAAAAGAAAGAGAAAAAGGGGGTTGGCATTGAACAGTTTCTTCTCAGTACTCAAATCCCCATTGTGTTACACCAGCAACAAACTCTAGGTACTTCAGTTTTAAATCACCACACCTAGATCTCCTTCCAGAGCACCTATAATTTTGTCCTGCAAATACACCTCCAGTGCTGAATACACACAAGGTAAGACAGAGTACTTGCCATTATGAATTAGGAGTCAAATCAGCTACAGACTGCAGTTCAGGAAAGAGTAAAAAGAGATCTATTTATTTTTCTGCAGCAACCACAGAGCCACGGTACTTGTTTCCAATGAGTAAGAGATGAGACTGGTATATGTGGAGAATGGGACAAAAGGGTTTTCCAAATCCTTCACTGGTCATGATGCTTAACATCAGTCTAAGCTTTCAAGAGTGAGGACAGTAAAGGGGAAGAATACTACCACTACATATTACACTGCTACTACCCACATACTACCACTAAAAATGATGCACTGTTTGAGAGTTTGCTTCAAAAAACAGACTTTGTAACAAGATAAAATGATTTATTTAAGCAATAAGATCTGGTCATGCATGAGTTCACCAAATTACAAATTATGGATACAATAACCTCTATAGGTAAATTATGTGTAAACAGCAGAAAAGGAAGTTTATGCATGCAGAAGTCATGATGCTTCTATGGAATCCATCACTGAACCAGAATTTTCAGAGAGACCAGTGAGGACAGGGGCAAGATGCAACTCATGGATGAGTAGAGCACATGACCCTGGCTAATCTTCTATCAGTCCAGACTCCAACTGCAATATGAGGCAACTTCTAAATTTTCTTAGCTCATACAGAGATGCTGCCTTCCCTCCACCTCCAGTTTCTCCTATCTGGGCAAGGAGCACAAGAGTACCCAACCCACACATACAGAAACCTACAGAACCTTGCCAAAAATCTTGTGAAGTTCAAATTAATTACCAGACAAGTTTTGTACAAACTTAACCTTGAATGACTTGGAATAAATTAGAATTTTATCTTTTACAGCTGCACTTTTCAAGTGAGCTCTTCAGGATAGCAACCTTACAGTTTTGCTTCAAAGTAGTAACTCAGCAGATTATAGCAGTTCATTATCTGCCCTTTTCTCCACCACTTAGTTCTGAATATGGTCTAAAAGGGTTATCTTACCTTTTTTTGCTTATACCATGATGGTCTGATAAGTGCATAGTGAGGTCTTACATAACACAGAGGAAACAAGCCCAATTTCTATGGCTGGTTTTAGGAGTCAGTATTTTAATCAGTAATGTCAACCTATGTGAAGGAGAACAGTAGTTGGGATATTTTTATCAAAATTGGAGGCCAGAAAAGCAAATAGCTACTCTGAATTTCAGGGCTTCATTCCTGACAAGTCTTGCTAATAAATGCCTGTTACTCTGTGGCCATTTATGCCCACTGTTTCCCAATCTATATGGGATTACTGTGGGACAAGTGTCTTACCATGAGTTTTTGGGACATGCAGTTACCTCCAAGGGGTAATCAATATTTCATTATCACTAAAGTTCAATGTTTTCTCTCTTCTACTCAAGGCATTAAATTTTACTAAATAGACATGCATATCTCTTAGAAAGATAAGAGGGTACACCAGTGGAATAATTTTTAAGTTTTCACCAGAAACAGATTTATTCCAGCATTTTACAAATCTCAAAAGCCAGCTTTTACCCACATGGAGAACAAAGCTTCTATATCAACAGTGGGACACCTTTCTCAGGCGATAGATCTCAAAAATTCTTGGTTCAAATTAACCTTTAATATTCTCTGAAAAATGTTATGGTTTTGGAAACCAGGAGGCAAAATTCATCTGTGGTGGTCAGAAGTGGGAGCTGCTACCAAACTCTGTTTCAGATGAGTTGTATTTAAGAACGTCAGGGATGCTTTCCTTATAAGAGGGCCCTGTGGGTGTTTTGTATGAGCCAAGGGCCATCTCTGTGCACAGAGGTACTTGCTGGTCCCAGTCCCACATGGTCCAAGGCATACAGGTACTACTGTATGACACCCTGGCAGCAAGAGCAGCTGTGAATCACTAAACTAGAGGCAAGCACACTGACTTCTAGGGGCACTCTCATGGGCTTCTTATCAAGAAAATTAAATGAAAACAAGGCAGTTACTACAGCTTTTGCAAAGAATGGCATTCTAAGCTTCCCAAATGTGGTTATACGAGGGGAAAAAGAGTTCATGAGAACATTAATCTGCTGTTCTTTTCACATATCCTGTGTCACAGTAAAAGGGAAGGTGTTGCAGAGTACAAACTGTGTTTTGTGTTTCAATATGAAGCATACCTGAGAGCTGGACTAATGAACCTAGATACCTCTTTCATCAGTTGTTTTGGTCTGGTTTTAAGGATTTCACACCTATTAGAAATCAGTCTTGATTCAAGCAATTAACAAAGGGGTGATGAGGCAAGCGAATTGGCACAGTGGGACTATAAAATACAGTCTAAGTAAAATCACTCCAGCTGCTACACATGCACACTCACATACCATCCACTCAGAAAATATTCTGCAAGAACATTGCTTCGATATAAACACCTCTCTGAACACATACGTTTCTACTCTCCCCACTAAGATTTGTTTTAAGGAGGAATCATCAAAAATCTTCTTACAGAGTTCAAAGGAAGTTTTTCCAAGGATTTTAACACCAAAACATCTATATCAGACCCCAAGGTAAACTGACATTAGACAAATTAATTCCCTTAATCACCAGTTGCTGTACTTGATCAGCACTATTTTAAGGACATACAAAGCTTACCTGCTTTAAGTGCAGAGGTGCCAGACCACCAGCACTTACAAAGAAAAGCTTTAGGAAGTTAGTGGACAAATTGTACTTGCCAGGCAACCCTGATGTTACAAGGGAATGCAAAAAAAGTACTGTAGAAACTTTTGGGTCTATAAATTCTGTGCTCAAAGGGTCAGATCTCTAAAAGTAACTTTAGAGCATGTAGTCAAGGCTGAGAATTTTAACAGGGACAATTTTGACTCTTCCTTGGGAATTTTAGGAAGGCAAAATATTTCTAAAAAATATGGGCAGAGAAAATACCTGTCTGAGGCCAGATGTCACAACAGAAACTGCAACAATGGAGAAGAGGGATCATTTAAGTCAGAAATCAGATGGGAAGCAGGGTAAATACCTGTAATATACTAGTATTAGCTACATGTGTACGGAGTCACGAGCAGGTAGATGCATTTTTAAGTACTCTGCTCAACAGCACTTCTGTTAAACATCTGTTTATTCACATCTCTGAGTTGTATGCCTCTGCTCTGATACTTACTAGTCCTATACTAAATCCTCAGAGGAATTTTGTATCAAAAAACAAGTTAATTTTCAAATTAGTCAGCCTCAGCCATTTTTATTACTATGCTTCCCAGAAGTTTGACATAAAAAAAGCAGTTATGAAATTGAAATAAGAGATATCAAGTGGATACTGTTAAGCAGAGGGGTATGCAAGGTTTGGGAAGTGCAGAGGAAAATCTCACATGGACAGCTGGCACCAGAAAGGCAGAGTGGAGCAATGAGAGGTGGTGTGACACCTGACAGAGACCCTGTGGGTGACAGCCTTGATTCAACAGACCAATGCCTCCATTTTCCTTCAAAGCTAGGAGGCAATCAGGCAGTGCAAACAAAGAAGTAGCTGCAGATGGAAAGTCGGATGAAGGCAACAGACCAAACCCACTGGAGAACAATGCTACCGGAGCTTTATCCCCAAAACCACCACCCTCTAAATTCCCTCAGGCAAGAGGATGGCTTAACACTAATAAAACATGAAAAAACATTTTAAACATATATAAGACAGAAAAAAAGTGAAGAAAACTTGTCTATCTGTTCTCACGGTTAGTAATTTACTGTAAAAATTAGAACACTAT